CCTTTAAATAATTTTAAATTATTCTCAACAACCTAACCTCATAGAATTTAAAATTCAAATTCAAATTTCAAATTCCAATTTGAAATTTAAACTCAAATATAAATTCAATATTATCCAAGTTCGTAATTCGAATTCGAAATTCAAATTTCAAATTTCAGATTTCAAATTCAAATTTCAAAATTCAAATTTCAAAAATTCAAATTTGCCCAAACCTTATTTTGGTCAAGTCAACTCTTTGACTTACTAGGATTCATGCCCCAAGGCTTCTTTGGCCTATCATCATATTTGGGCTCATTAGTGGAGGAAACTCTTTCACCAATAATGCCCCAAAAGGGCGCATGGATCAAGTGGGCTTGGAGTCCCTACTCCAACCCAACTTGACTCATAGTCTTGACAAAGCCCAATAACTCATTATTGGTCCAAACTTGCTATAACTTACAATAAAGAATAACCTTTGTGTGTGACCCATTAGGCCCAATTAGTTACTGACATAAATAAACTTGAACCATTTAAACACCTTTAAAAGGCCCAATCCATTTAATGACTACATGATACAATAACAATGCTCTGTAGCCCCAGAACTAATTGAGTTGATCAAGTGATCTACCTTTCTAATTTGGATACCGTGCCAGCATTATCCCTCACATCGCCATTCACATTTAGTCGAGAGCAAGGATAGAGTATCATCTCTCTTTATTGACTAAATATAATATTTCACTGGAACTAGGAATCTTCTTCTATTGACTCTAAGACAGATCATGACTCTTCATGATCTCTTACTATGCATAGATTCCCGAGTCAACTAGATGTCATCTCAGCCCTACCCGTCTTTGTGAACGACTAATCCCTTATAGGGAATTGTGAGTCCTTTCGGCATGTCCATCTATACTCATGTATTCGAGTTATACCCAAGAGTACACTGTTCTCCCTATTTTTCAGGCGGATAGAGTTGTACAGTCAAAGTATAACTCTAGGACATAGTATTCGATGACATCCTAAAGTCTAGGACGATCTGCACTACCAAACGTTCAGAGATTTTTCAAATCTAATGATACTCTCTATAATGAATCCTTGTGGAGTCTCTAAGCGGGTCAATTCAGTGCTATCTGTTCTCCAACAGATCCACCCACGACATCAGCTAAGGCATCAGCATGCCTGCATTCCATGAGGTCCTTACCTTGTATCTCCATACAAGTAGATGATGTCGTACTAGTCTTATTGAGATCACCAATACCCTTTCTTGGTGATTCAAGACAAGGAACAGATTTTTAGGTAATAGACATTCAGTGTCCTCGAGTCCTCATGATCATGATCCCTATCATAGATCCCCGAGTGAACACCTGCTATATTCCTAGGGTCTTTATCTTTAAGCGCATGTTAACAATAAAATATTAGCGAGACATAAATATGATAAAGATAAAGTTTGCTCAAATTTATTAATCATGATATACCAAATAGAAAAAGGTGTTCATCTGATAAAACAGATTGTCTCTAGGACACCTATATACTAACAATGTACTCAAGCCTTTAAAGAGTTCCATGCTATGGTGGAAAGGGAGACTGACAATAAATTGAAGGTGGTCCGATCTGACAATGGTGGTGAGTATTGCGGCCCATTTAATGCATATTGCTAAGTGGCCAGGATTCGACTTGAGAAGATGCTCCCAAAAATTCCTCAGCTGAATGGACTTGTGATAAACCCTTGGTTTATAAGGTTTTTAAGCATGAATTAGCTTAATTTGTGTGATTAAATGGATGGAAAAGAGGGTCAATGTCCTGGAAAGTTCTAAATACAAGTTCTGAAAGTTTTGTTAAAAATTTATATTGTTCTTGTAGGGAAATGAAGCTCAAGAAGCAAATGAGAGAAGGAAGAAGATTATGAAGAATGGTAGAATTCTAAGTGTTGAGCGTTAAAACGTCCAAAGCGAACGTTTTAGCGCGCAGCTACAAAATGAAGCCAAAAATTGCTGGGGCCGAGTGCGAAAACGTCCAATGCAAAAGTTTTAGCACTTTGTTGTTCAAAAAGATTCTGGTCTTGAACGCTAAAACGTTCAAGTCAAAGGTTTTAGCGCTGAGGACAGTTGAAAGCAGTTGGGCATCCGTCAAAGTTGAATGCTAAAACGTCCAACAGGGAACGTTTTAGCGCCCATGTCAGTTTTTGGATGTTATTCAGTTAGAATTTGTAAACTATAAAAGGGAAAAGAGCCTTCACACTTGAGAGAGATCCTCTGATCTGACTTTTTACTCTCTGAAATTCTAAATTCCTTAGGCCCTAGTATTGTATTAGTTTAGTGTACTTTATGTAATTGTGATTGAAGATTGAAGATTCAACATCATGACAATGGAGTTTGATCTTTCCTCTTCTCTTGTTATTTCTTTTTTCTATGTCTGAGTAGAGTCCTTTGTAGTCTGATTTCAATGGAACTCAAAGATGAATTTATGTATGATTGATTGAATATTTTGATTATCTTTTATGTGATGATATGGAATTGTCTTTATCAATTCTTTTCATTAAGGGGGTAGTGTAGAACAGGAATGTTTACATTATTTCTGCAACTGGCAAGTTCATCATCAGTGTTCTAGTATTCAAGGGATTGGAACTAGGACTTTGATGTAATCTTTAAAATCTTAGTGCTTAATGTATGTATTAAGAAGGGAATCACCAAGGGATTGGGGTTCTTGATTAATGTATCAACCAAGGTAGTAAGGGATTACATCTTGGTGATAATAAAAAGGTTGATTGACATCACATAGAAGATAATTCATAATGGGATTGATTCTTACATAAGTTTATAGTTGAGGGACATTGATTTCTTACTACTTGTTGTAAAATTATAATTCACATTTTAGTTATTGTATCAAGTTCAAATACAATTCAATTTCTGGTGACAATTATCAATGCATTCAATGAATTCTTGTTTGATTCAACTTAATTATAAATGGTTAGTTGGTGTTTGAACACAAATCCTCGTGGGAACGATCTTTACTTATCATTTTATTACTTGTACGACTATTACACTTGCTAAAGTTGCAACAAGTTTTTGGCGTCGTTGCCAGGGATTTGTTCTTTCAACATTGACAGACACCATTAATATTTGAGATTGAATTTTTATTATTTTCAGCAATTTATATTTATGTGTGAAGTTTTGTTCAAATCTAATTCTGGTGTATGCGAGGTACTATTAATCCAAACTCTTTGTTGTTTGCTCCAGAATTAGAAAAGACAATTAGGAAGAGCAGAAAGGCAGCAAGACAAAGAAAGCTACAAGAAAGGGGTGAATCCAGTGTGACAGTTCAAGAAGAGGTCATGGCAGAAAATCACATTCCACCACCACAGAGGACATTGGGAGATTACATGACTCCCACTGTCATTCCACCGATTGGGCGTGTTGTTCGACCCATTGTGGAGCCCAACAACTTTGAGTTGAAACCTGCATTAGTACAATTGGTGCAGAAAGAACAATTTTCTAGCACCAGTGCTGAAGACCCGTATCTGTACATTGAGAATTTCTTACTGTTGAGCGATACAGTGAAGATCAATGGTGTGACTAGAGATTCTATCTTGTTAAGATTGCTCACTCATTCACTAAAGGATGATGCAAGAAGATGGTTACAATCATTACCTCAAGGGAGTATCACAACTTGGGATGATCTGCAGACTAAGTTTTTAGCCCGGTTCTTTTCAGCATCAAAGAGGGCAAAATTAAAGGATGAGGTTACAGGGTTCAAACAAAAAGAATTAGAGTCTATCTATGAAGCTTGGGAGAGGTTCAAAACACTCTTGAGGAAATGTCCACAACATGGAATCGAAATGTGGAATCAAGCAGCAATATTTCTCCAAGGGTTGACAACCAACACTAGAACATTGGTGAATGCCACAGCTGGTGGTTCATTGACAACCAAGACTCCTCAGGAAGCCCTTGAAATATTTGAATCTCTAGCATCTCAAGAGTTTGACAATGCTCCAGTAAATGACAGAAGAACGGGAATTATAAACTTGATGGTTATGATGCTTTGTTAGCCAAGAATGATCAGATGATGCAAATGCAAAAACAACAACAACAACAGTTGGATGCTCTCACTAAGCAGCTATCTTCTCAAAAGGTTGCTTCTGTAGACACTAATCCTGTGTGTGCAATTTGTGGGAAAAGCCATGTTACAGAAGATTATGATTATGGGGGATCTGCCGAACAAGCAGAAGTGAATGGGGTATGGTATGATCAGAGGAACCAGAACAACTAGCGGAAAAATTTGTATGTTCCACCATGGAAGAATAGGAATCAACACCCAGGGTTCAATGATAGTTCTAATCATCAGTTAAATCCTCCATTGCATCCTCCTCCACCACATTCTTCACAACAAGTTGATACCTCTGCATGGGAGGAAGCTTTTGCCTAGTTATCTAAGACGGCCCAAGAATATATTCAGGATTCAAATTCTTTCAGAGAAGAAACTTATGCATTCATGCAAGAGACAAAAACATCATTCAGGAACCAGGAAGCATCCATCCAGAATTTGGAGACCCAAATTGGTCAGCTGTCCAGGCAGATATCTGAGAGACCACAGGGAAAGTTCCCTGGTGATACAATGGTGAATCCCAAGGAGCATTGCAAATCTATTATTACCAGAAGTGGGCTTGTACTTCAACCAGTTAAAAAGAAAGTGGAAGAAAAGAAAGTGGAGGAAGAAGTTGTTGTTGAAGATGATGTAGTCGAAAATGATGAAAGAGAAAAAGTTAAGGAAGATAAGAAAGAAGATGAAGTAGTTGTTGAAAACAACTCTTCACCCAAGAAGTTGATGAAGTGGGAGAAGAAGAAAATGGCTGACAAGCAAGACCAGCCAATTAATCTATCTCCATTGCCAAAGTTCCTTATCCTTAGAGGTTGAAGCAAGAAATTCAGAAACAACATTATGCAAGGTTTCTGGATATTTTCAAAAAATTACAGATTAACATTCCATTTGCTGAAGCCTTGGAAAACATGCCTCACTATGCAAAATTTATGAAGGATCTTTTGTCTAAGAAGAGGAAGTTGAAAGATGGTGAGACTGTGGCTTTAACAGAGGAATGTAGCGCCTTGATTCAAAAGAAGCTTCCTCCAAAGTTAAAGGACCCAGGTAGTTTCAGCATTTCTGTTGCTATTGGAGATGTGGAAGTAGGAAAAGCACTTTGTGACTTGGGAGCCAGTTTAAATTTGATGCCACTATCTGTCTGCAGAGCTTTGGGGATTAACAAGTTGAAAGCCACTAATGTTATTCTACATTTAGCAGATAGATCAATTAAGAGACCAGAAGGGGTGGTAGAAGATGTTCTGGTCAAGGTGGATAAATTCATTTTCCCTGTAGATTTTGTAATACTAGATATGGGAGAGAAGGATACTGAAAGTCCTCTACTCCTAGGGAGGCCATTTTTAGCCACTACAAGATATTTGATTGATGTTGAACAAGGAAAGTTGATGTGAAGGGTGAATGAAGAAACAATCACCATTGATGTGTTTGAAGCTATTAAACATTCTGTTGATGTGGAGGATTGTTTCAAAATTGATATCATACAGGAGGTTGTGAAAGAAGTGATAGGAGAAGAAAACTCTTCACTTGAGGGAGACAAATTCAAGGAGGAAACAAGTGTGGAATACTATGCGGAAGAACCGAAAGTAGAAGAGCTGGAAAAGAAAATAGATGATATTCCTAAGGGAGCACCCAAGGTGGAACTTAAAGAACTTCCATCAAATCTCAAGTATGTGTTTCTTGGAGATGATCAAACATACCCAGCCATTATTAATGCATTGTTGTCTGAAGGGGAGGAAGTAAAGTTGATTGAAGTTCTTAAAAAGAACAAGACATCTATAGGATGGTCATTTTCAAACCTCAAGGGTATCAACCCTTCTTTCTGCACTCATAAAATATTGATGGAAGATGAGGTTAAACCAGTAAGGCAACCATAGAGAAGACTCAACCTTATTATGAAGGAGGTAGTGAGGAAGGAAGTGGTGAAGTTGCTTGATGCTGGAATGATCTACCCTATTTCAGATAGTGCTTGGGTGAGTCAAGTGCAGACAGTGCCCAAGAAAGGAGGAATGACTGTTGTGAGGAATGAGAATAATGAATTAATTACCACAAGAACAGTCACTGGTTGGAGAATGTGCATAGATTACCAGACACTCAACTTAGCAACCCGGAAGGATCATTTCCCTATTCCATTCCTAGATCAAATGCTAGAGAGATTGGCAGGACATGCTTTCTACTGCTTTCTAGATGGATACTCAGGCTACAACCAGATAGCTGTGGCTCCAGAAGATCAGGAGAAAACTGCATTCACTTGCCCATATGGAATCTTTGCATACCAGAGGATGCCTTTCGGCTTATCTAAGGCACCAACGACTTTTCGAAGGTGCATACTTTCCATATTCTCTGACATGGTAGAAAAATGCATTGAAATTTTTATGGATGATTTTTCTGTATTTGGTCCTACTTTTGATGCCTGTCTAGAAAATTTGGATAGTGTTTTAAAAAGATGCCAAGATTGTAATATTGTGTTGAATTGGGAAAAGTGTCACTTCATGGTGACAAAGGGTATTGTTTTAGGACACAAGGTGTCCAGAAGAGGAATTGAAGTGGATAAAGCCAGAATCTCTGTTATTGAGAAACTTCCCCCTCCCATAAATGTCAAAGGTGTGAGAAGTTTTCTTGGTCATGCAGGATTTTATAGACGCTTTATAAAATAATTTTCAAAGATTGCAAAACTTTTATGCAAATTGTTGGTGAAGGAACAAGAGTTTGTGTTTACTGATGAATGCCTGCATGCATTTAACATTCTGAAAGAAAAATTGATCACTGCACCAATAATCATGGCACCTGATTTTTCACTACCTTTTGAGCTGATGTGTGATGAAAGTGATTATGCTGTGGGAGTGGTACTAGGCCAAAGAAATGACAAATTATTGCATGTCATTTGCTATGCCAGTAAAATTCTTATTGATGCACAGAAGAATTATGCTACTTCAGAAAAGGAATTATTGGCTATTGTGTATGCATTTGACAAATTTAGGTCATATCTGCTAGGTTCAAAGGTGATTGTTTACACTAACCATGCAGGTTTGAAGTATTTGTTAACTAAGCAGGATGCTAAGCCCAAGTTACTCCGGTGGATGTTACTTCTACAAGAGTTTGAAGTGGAAATCAAAGATAAAAAGGGAGTTAAAAACTTGGTGGCTGATCACTTATCCAGGATCACAGAGAAAAATCTACAAGAAGGACCGGAAGTGGTAATTAAAGAAGAGTTTCCTGATGAGAAAATACTGGCCATAAGCACTGTTTCCAAGTTGGTGCAGGATCAAGTTTTGAAAATTAATACTCCACCGTGGTTTGCTGATTTTGCAAATTACAAAGCTGCTGGAGCAATGCCTAAAGATTTCACATGGCAACAGAGAAAGAAATTTCTGCATGATGTAAGGAGATATATTTGGGATGAACCATACCTCTTCTACAGGTGTTCAGATGGGGTAATCAGAAGATGTATTCCAGAGGAGGAACAACAAGATGTCTTATGGCACTGTCATGGTTCAGCCTATGGTGGACACTTTGCAGGTGAAAGAACTGCAGCAAAAGTCTTGATGAGTGGTTTTTATTAGCCAACATTGTACAAGGATGCAAGGAAGTATGTGGAAGCCTGTGACAACTGCCAACAGACTGGTAATATATCCAGGAGACATGAAATGCCATTGAACAATATACTAGAGGTGGAAATCTTTGATGTTTGGGGTATGGATTTCATAGGACCCTTTCCCTCTTCTTACTCCAATAAGTACATCCTGGTGGCGGTGGATTATGTATCAAAATGGGTTGAAGCCATAGCTACACAAACTAATGACTCTGGGGTTGTGATCGCCTTTCTGAAAAAGAATATCTTTGTGTGATTTGGAGTTCCGAGAGCCATAATCAGTGATGGGGAACACATTTTGACAACCGGTTGGTAGAAGTTGTTCTTGCAAAATATGGAGTCAGGCATAAGATAAGTACCCCGTACCACCCACAGACTTGTGGTGAAGTTGAGATTTCCAACAGAGAACTTAAACGTATATTGGAAAAGACTGTTGGAAATGCTAGGACTCAATGGTCTAAGAAACTTGATGACACTTTATGGGCTTATCGTATAGCAGTCAAGACTCATATTGGAATGTCTCAATTTCAGTTGTTATTTGGGAAAGCATGGCATCTACCGGTGGGATTGGAAAACAGAGCATTAGGGGCTGTTAAGTTTTTAAACTTTGATTCCAAAGCAGCAAGAGAGAAAAGGCTACTTCAATTAGATGAACTGGATGAATTTCGTCTTTCTGCATATGAAAGTGAAAGCTTATACAAAGAAAAGACCAAGCTATGGCATCACAGGAAAATCACACCTAGGGATTTCAAGGTGGGCAACCAAGTTCTGATGTTAAATTCCAGGTTGAAGCTATTCCCAGGAAAGTTAAAGTCCAGATGGTCTGGACCATTTGTGGTGAAGGATATGAAATCTTATGGAGCGGTGGAAATTAGTTCCTTGGATTCTGACCGAAGCTTTACTGTCAATGGTCAGAGGTTGAAGTTATACATTGGGAGTGTTGTAGACAGGCAACTTCTTACAGTTGCCTTGATGGAGGTAAGTTGAGGAAGAAACGTCAGGCTCGTGATGTTAAACACGCGCTGAGTGGGAGGCAACCCACTATATCAGGTATGTGATAATTAATATTAATAATATTATGTCCTCAAAAAAAATTAGAACATTTGGAAAATTTGCCAAGTGATGGGCGCTAAAACTTTCAGTCTTGAATGTTTTAGCGGTACAGAGATGCATCACAATGCAAAAATCTGGCCCAAAGCTCTAAAATTTTCGGATTGACCATTTTAGCGCGCCATAAAGGCATCACTGTGCAAGCACTCTGGTCCAGAGCGCTAAAACGTGTTGTTTGACCGTGTTAGCGCGCTGATGCACACAACCATGTGCATATTTTTCTGGTCTCAGGCGCTAAAACATTTTGGTTGAATGTTTTAGCGCCGCGTCACTTATTTGATTTCTACGGTTATATTCCATCAATCCCTCACTCTCTCCTTCCTTTATTCACTCTCCCATTTTTATATTGTCGAATTTCTCTCTTTCTCTTCTACATTCACCTAATCATATTCTACCAAGGTATGTTATCCTCATCTTTTCTCTTTTCGAAATATATTCTTCATCTTTTTGTATCATTTTCATTTTCATATCATCTTTTTGTATCATTTTCATTTCATCCTCATCTCGCACGATCCCATGTTTTATTTTTGATAGCAAGTCCTTGGTTTGTAAGTAATTCTGGATTAGTGTTATTTTTGGGATGAAAAGCATATCCAATTATCGAGTTCCCATTATGCATTTGCACACACACACCAAGTGTTTGTTAAATTTCCTGACCCAGAAATTACCATAGCGCTAAAACGCTTGCCAGCCAACGTTTTAGCACTCCACCATTTTGTACCACGAAATTGCCAGGATGCTAAAACGCTCTCTGTGCACGTTTTAGCGCCCTGGCCCTGATACATGCATGATTTTAGGCTGCTAGTATGGCATTGTAGGGGTTGTTTTCTTTCATATTTTTGGATCCATCTCCACTACTTCTTTCAAATCTAAATCTGGTTGTGATCCATTATCTCTCAATTGCTTTGATTGATTGACTGACTTTTCCTTTCATGTTGTAGAACCATGTCTTCACCACCCAAGAAGACCGGCAAGAAGAGGGCTAGGGTGACCAAGGGCAAGGAGCCTGCACCTCCACCTAATTTTGATGATAGATTATGGAAAAGTGCCGCCCATGAAGTCAGGTTTAATGAGAAGACTTCTTCTAGGCCCTTTTTTCCGAGAGAGGAAATTGGTCTTGGACAAGGTTGAATACCCTGACTTTCAATCCCAGTTGATCAAGAGGCAATGGAAGACTTTTGGCATGATGCTGGACAATAGCAGTCAAGCTATTTGTCGGGAGTTCTATGCTAATGCTTATAACGGGGATGAAGGTGGCAAGCGCCATTTTGTCAGTATGGTTCGGGGGAAGAAGGTGAAGTATGATGCTCATACCATCCAGAAACTTTTAAAGATCACACATTGTGACTACATCCAGAACCAAAATTGTCAGTTCAAGAAAACTTGGGAACAGATTGACATTCCCCTAAGGAGAAGCAACCCTGATTTTAAAACTTGGACCAAGTTGGGAGCAACTGAGCCTGTTTTTCAAACCATAGCCAAGCCCAATGAAAAATGGCATATGATGAAGGATGAGGTAAATCCCAAGTTGCTATGGTTAAGGCAGTTAAATGGCCAGGCCAGAGTGTGGTTTCGAATGTATTGTCTTCCTCCAACCAGGCAGAAGTTATTATGATGCGAGCTGTGCTGATTTACACCATCATGACTGGGAAGAAAGTAGAACTTCCTATCATTCTTCAAGATAGTATTTATGACATGGCCCATTTTGATAGCAGTTCTGCCGCACTGGGTCACAGTTCTTTGATCCAGCATCTATGTCAGCGAGCTGGTGTTGACATTTCTGATAATGGGGCGCAGGTAAAGTGGCACCCTGAAATTAATGCAAAGATGATCACCAATCAGCTCAAGATTGGAGGAGGAGCAGCCACCGGTTTGACACCGGGAAGGAAGAACATGACAGAGGCTGAGTCCGCGTCCACACGGCAGAAGAGATCAGGGGAGCAGTGGCTGGTCAACACTGAGGTTCGTTTGGGGTGTTTACGCCACTGTCTCAAGCTCATGCAGACGAGCCAGAGATCATTTCTGACCCAGATGCTGACAGCCCTTTGTGAGGCCGAGGGCGTAAAGCCGGCTGCATTTCAGGCTGAGGATTATCCTCATTTTGAGGAGGAGGACGCATTTGAGGCTGCTGCTACAGCATTCTTTGAGGAGCATGCTGATGAGGAAGAGGCTATGATGGCTGCCATGGGTACTGATGCTACGCCTGCTGCTGATTCGACTGCTGGAGATCAGCCTTCTGCTGGAGATCAGACTGAGGATCAAACTGCTGATGATGATTACACACTGCTACCTACTGCAGATCAAGGATCAGATCCTCTTACCTCAGATGAGGAGGACTCAGAGTCTCAAATTTACTCTTGACTGTCCTCCACTTTAGTTTCTGATATTTTCATTTTAGTTTATTTTAGTTGTATTTTTTTGTTAGTTTTCTTTTGTAATTCGGTGTAGTACATTGGGATATTCATTGTTTTTGCATGATGCACATTGCGATAGTACTGATGCTATTGGTTTATATTGTATGTGTTTCATTGATCAATTGCTGTTTTAGATTTAAATTAGTTGCTGGGGACAACAACATTTAAATCTAGGAATTGGGTGTGATTGAATGGCATGCAAACTTCATGGAGATGTCACACAAATTGATGAGCCAAAACAGGGAAACATCTCAATCTTTCTTTTTCTTTTTCTAAGTTTTCTTGTGTGATTTGGATTTCAGATGTGATATTGAATTTGGATTTCAGTTGTGATATGGAATTCAATGAGGATAAGACTGTGAAAGTAAAATGGCCTTGAAGGCCGTAGCATGTGAGAGGGAAATTTTTTTTCATATGCGGAATTACACATGCAATCAAGAATCATGCTTTATGGCATGTGATGTTACCTTTGTTTGTGAGTTCGAAACTCCAAGACGATCAGTGTTAGGTTTGAAGGGTTCAAACCATCTAACGTTGATCCACACCACCCACGTCAAGATGCAAGAACGCTTTCTTGAAGGCCACCAATTGACCATCACAGAGAGGCTTGCTATGCGCTCAATAGGTGAAGAAGGAGGCTAGGTATATGTGTTTAGAAGAGTGAAGTCTCCTGCATGAAAACTTCACAATAGTGGGAATGGTATATAGAAGAATTGGCTAGGGTCTTTTAAAAAACCTTAAGGAGGAACTCACCAACTAGGCGCACAAGAGAGGGAGAGAATTAGTGTATCAAATCAGAATTTTTACTTTACTTATAATGAAAGTGGCACACAAGTGAGGGAGACAAAGGTGGAGTTGTTGCAATTCAAAAATCCCAACAACCTCCCCTTTGAATCCTCATAAGACTAGGTCTTTATCTAGTCAAAATTCTGAACCAATGGTCATCATATGACCACCAATTCATACGCCCCTATTCAGCCCAAAAAGGGTCCAGATACATTTGAGCTGTTGCATTCAAGTTTGAACCAACTAGCTCACTGATTCTCTCAACAACCAAATCTGATTGGAGCTTGTTGGTTTGACAAGATGACAATCATCTCCCACCAAAATGGCGCCCCAAATCAGCCCTTGGAGATCTCCATAGATCTTCTCTTGATACAAGGGATTTGTTCCAACAAGATCTCATCTTATCCTTTTGTTATGAAACAACTTTTCATAGCCAATTCAAATTCGAATTCAAACATTTAAATTCAAACGTTCAAACATTTAAATTCTAAATTCAAATTCAAATTCAAAATTCAAATTCAAAATTCAAAATTCAAATTCAAAATTCAAAATTTAAAATTCAAATTTCAAATTCAAAATTTAAATATTTGATAATTAATTTAACTAATTAAATTAATTAGTAATGTCTTGGACCATCCAAGCCCATTAACAATACCATGCGCCCTCTCCCTCTTAGGTGGGCTTCCAAAATTCATCTTAGGCTAACAACCATTATTAGGCCCAATACCTTTAATGCTATATCATCATGACATTAAGGTGTTAGTGTGTGACCCATTAGGTCCAACATAGCCACTGACATAAATGGGCTCGGGTCCAACAAGCCCACAACCCATTTAATGACAACACAGAGCACTAGCAATGCTTTGTTGCCCCGGAGCTAGTTAGATTAATGACTTGATCATCCTATTACACATATTTGGTTGCCGTATGTATTTCTTTTCGTCTCGGTTACCTTCCCATAAAACCTAGGGTAAGGAAGCGTATCAACCCTTGCGGTTTAGGGTAAGCTTTATTCGAAATAGGGAATCTTCAATTTACTGACTCTAAAGGCAGATCATCTCATGATCTCTTTTACTATGCATAGATTCCCGAGTCCCTATAAATGTCATCCCAATTTCTCTGGTTTACAGATAACCTAATCTCTCACAGAGATTTGACGAATTCCTTCAACTTATCACCCTAGCCCTGTGCTCTTTCAGGACAAGCCCAACAGTATACCTATGAGTCTCCATGTTTCAGGAAGACGAAGTATACAGTCAAAAGCATGCCTTCTAGAACACAGTCTAGGTAATAACTTCTGGTCTAAGGAAAAACATACCCAAATATAAAGAGACTACTCTAATGATACCCTCTGTGAGATTTCCTCATAGAGTCTCTTTTGTGGGTCTGTTCGGTGCGAGCTATACCCTTATAGATCCACCCACGACTTTAGCTAAGTCATCTCCATATCTGTAGCTCATGAGGTCTTTACCTTGCATCCGACTGGTATCTGCTCGTAATGCTCAAAGCATATGAGACATCTGGTCTCGTACATATCATGGCATACATGATGGATCCAATAGCTGAAGCGTATGGAATTCCACTCATGCGATCCTTCTCAGGCTGTGACTTAGGACACAGTCTTTGAAAGATGTACCCCATGACTGACGGGAAGAAAACCCTTTTTCGACCCTTCCATGCTAAACCCTTTTAGCATCTTGTCAACATACGTGGATTGAGATAAACCCAGCAGCCTCTTGGATCGATCTCTATAGATCTTTATACCAAGTATAAAGGTCGCTTCTCCCAAATCCTTCATGGTGAAGCTTTTTGAAAGCCACTCTTTCGTTATTTGTAATGTGGGGATGTCATTTCCTATTAACAATATGTCATCTACATAAAGTACCAGGAAGACGACATTACTCCCACTAACCTTCTTGTAAACACAAGGTTCATCCTCGTTCTTGATAAAACCGTTACTCTTAACGACTTCGTCAAAACGAATATTCCAACTCCTTGACCCTTGCTTTAGCCCATATATCGACCTTTGAAGTTTGCATACCATATGCTCCTGATCTTTGATTTCAAAGACCTCAGGTTGTGTCATGTACACTTCCTCCTTCAAGAACCCATTCAAGAAGGCGGTCTTGACATCCATTTGCCAAATTTCATAGTCGTGATATGTCGCTATTGCAAGCATGATCCTAATAGATTTGATCATGGCAACAGGCGAGAAAGTCTCATCATAGTCAACTCCTTGTCTTTGACGATACCCTTTCGCAACCAACCTAGCTTTGTAGGTTTGAACGTTCCCATCTGCATCAGTCTTTCTTTTAAAGACTCATTTGTTACCGATAGGAACTATTCCTTGCGGTTTAGGAACCAAGGTCCATACCTTGTTTTGATACATCGAATCCATTTCAGATTCCATGGCTTCAACCCATCTAGAAGAGTCAACATCCTTGATTGTCTCTTCGTAGTTACTTGGTTCATCATCCTCGACGGTTTGCTATTTCTCAATCGCAAACCCATACCTCTCAGGTGGATGGATGACCCTCGTTGACCTACGGAGTTGTGTGTTTACTTCTCCATTGGAGAACGTCGCCTGCGGAGCAGACTCGGGTTCCTCAATCTGTTCATGTGGTTATTGAACTTCTTCAAGATCAATTTTACTCCCACTGGCTCCTTGAGAGATCAAATCCTTCTCAAGGAACTCAACATTCTTTGACACAAACACCTTGTGTTCATCCATGGAGTAAAAGTAGTATCCCTTAGTACCTTTGGGATACCCCACAAATAGACATTTA